GTAGACATACAGGAGTATTTTGAACTGGATTCGAAAGTGAACCAGTAACCAGTGCAGTGAAGCCAAAACTGGTGTAATGTGCTCTCTTTTGCCTGTACTGGTTAAAAATTGGGCTGCTGCATTCTAGACCAGTTGTAGTCGTGCAATGGAGGTTTGACTGATACCAAACAGGAGTGAATTGCAGTAATCAAGCCTAGATGTAATGAATGCATGTATTACTGTCTCCAAGTTATTTTTGGACAATATGGGCTTCAGTTTAGACAGCCGCCTCAGTTGGAAGAAACATGATTTAACAATCATGTTTACGTGACTGTTAAGTTTCAGGGAAGTGTTCATTATCACTCCCAGATTAGTGACTCTTTGTTTTTTTTACAGGGTTAGAGTGGAGAGGTCGATACAGTGGTTTGTGATCGTGTCGTTGGGAGGGAACAACATGACTTCAGACTTTTCATTGAAATTTAAAGCCATCCAGTCCCTGATGTCAGCCAGGCAGTCGAGCAGAGGTTGAATAGAGCATGTACCATTGTGTCTTAGGGAGAAGTAAATTTGACAGTCATCGGCGTAGAAGTGGAAGGGCATGTTGTGTTTCCGGAAAATAGTACCAAGCGGCAGCAGGTATAAAGAGAATAGGAGGGGACCCAGGATGGACCCCTGCGGAACCCCCCATTTAAGCTCTGCCACTGCAGAACTAAAATCCTTGATGGAGACACAAAAGGATCTGTCAGAGAGGTAAGATCTAAACCAATTGAGGGCTGACCCTGTGATGCCCACCCACTGCTCCAACCTAGCAATGAGGATCTCATGGACGATGGTGTCAAAGGTGGCTGTGAGGTCCAACAGGACAAGCAGCACAGAATCACCGGTATCAGTGGTTAAGAAAAATTCATTAAAGACCTTCAGCAGGGCAGTTTCAGTGCTATGAAGAGGTTTAAAGCAGACTTCTGGTGAGCGAACGCTGGCGCATCCTGGCTGCCGATGCTCGTCGTGCTTTTTTTTTTTTTTTTCTGTTTTATTCAGTTTTTTTCCACTACACCAAGTCTCTGATCCGTCTCATTATCAGCCATGTGGTTCATTAGGATTTACCTGCTGCCTGCTCTGCTTTGGACTCTCCAGCTGCTCATCCACCACCACCACCCGGCGTCTGGCCTTCTCCATTACTCAGCGGTCGAGCACCTTCACCTTCGTTTCCTACCAGCCGTGCCACCTGTGCTCCCTCTTCAGGACATTGCCTTCCATCCTCGCCGGAGATACATTCACCGTGGCTCCTGCCGTAGACTCCACGCTGACAAGTCTAACCCCATAAACTCCATCTGGTCGGACTCTCACCATTCCACACGCCGCAATACTTGGTCCGCTAACAGTAGTAGCATGTTAGCTGGCCTAGTTCGGTCGGCTAATGCTCCGGTCGCTACAAACTCCTCCTCCGTAAAGTTTGGCCTTCTGAACGTTCGCTCACTTATTGGCAAAGGTCAGCTTATTCAAGACCTAATATCTGACCGTAAGCTAGATTTTATTTGTCTAACAGAAACGTGGCAACAACAAAATGACTTTTTCCACCTGAATGAATATACCCCACCGGGGTTTGTTTACATCACCAAATCCCGCGAGTCCGGCCGCGGAGGAGGTCTCGCGATAATTCACCGTGAGAACTGGAAGGTCACGCCGGTTCACACACCTCCCTCTCCCTCCTTTGAGCACACTGTGTGTCTACTCTCCAGCCCTACCCCCACCATTGT